TGGTTTTGTTTTGTTTTACAGTGCCATCCGAACTCTTGTGGTACATTAATTGCTCTGTTGTCTTTGCTTTTTTAGTACTTTGTTTTCTTCCTCACAATGGCTTACTAGCTTAATTGCAAATTATATATTTAAATATTTATTTGTTCTACCAAATTATGCTTTTGAAGATTGGCACCATATTTTATTCATCTACATATCTTTAGCATTTAGCACATAATAGTTGCTCTGTTGAAATTGAATTGATGGCTTTTCTGTCTGATGCAGCATCTAGGTACCAACCTCTTAGTATTTTTCCTTCGATTTCTCCATTTCCTTAAAATAAGGAATTTAGCTACTTACGGGGTGGGAGGTGGGGAGAAAGGGTAGCACTTTAATGTAATGAAGCCAGTTTGTAATGTGGAGGTTTTTGTTGTCATTTCATATAAAATTGGGGATACAAATGTGGATAAAATAGACTGTTGTTGGAAGGCACACAATCTAGTAGGGAAAACAAATGTAAAAAATTGTAATATAGTGTTATAAATGCATTACAGTTGTTATGTTCTAGGTGTGATTGTAGCACAGAGTACAGTAATTACCTCCACTTGGCATTGTCCGGGATGGCTTTATAGAGGGGAGGATTCTTGAGCTGAGTCTTGAAGGAGGAATAGTAAAAGTTTGTCCTGTGGATTTGGTGAAAAGGGGAGTAGGTATGTTGGATAAGTAGGAGTTCGAGAACAACATAGGAAAGAGAAACTGGCCCATGTGGTTTGATGTGGTGCTGGATGGTGCTCAAGTACCAGGAAAATATAAAAGGGCAGGGAATAGATATAGTTGGAGGGCCTGTTTGCCAGGCTTAGAGGTCTGGAATTGATCCTCTGGGTCAGGAATATCCAGTCTTTTGGCCTTCCTGGGCCACACTGGAAGAAGAAGAACTGTCTTGGGCCACACATACAATGCACTAAAACTAATGATAGCTGATGAGCTTAAAAAAAAATTGCAAAAAAAAATCTCATAATGTTTTAAGAAAGTTTATGAATTTGTATTGGACCGTATGCAGCCCCTGAACTGGGGCTGCTGGTTGGATAAGCTTGCTCTAGTCAGAAAAGGTTATTAAACAGTTTTATCCAGCAGACTAACAGATGCACATTTTGCCAGAATGTCTGGTAGTAGTGCGAATAATAAGTTGGGGGTAAGTGGGTAAGGACATTAGGAGAGACTGGAGGCAGGTAGAACAATCAGGAGGCTTGTGAAATTGTATATTGAAGAGGATCTGAGGTAGGGATGAAGAAGAGGGGGGTTGTGAAAAATGTTAATGAAGTAAACTTGTTAGGCTTTTGGATGTTGAGGGAGCATCATGAGGAAGAGGAACTTATCTGGCATCAATTTCAGGTTTCTGATTTGAGTGGATGGTGTTGCTAGTTAACCACAGGAGGAAATTACATACGGACTAGCAGATTTCGGAGCAAATCACGTTAGGATATCACCTAAAGTCCAGCCAGGTCAAAAGTTTCAATAAGCAGTTGGGTCTGGAGCTCCAGAGCTAGAGCTAAATATTGAGAACACAGATTTAGAGATAAAATTGTGGGCACTTAGGACTTGTAGAGGGAAAAAAAGAGATAAGACTCTGGAAAGCAGTATCATCTAAAGAACAAGCAGAGGAAGACAGTTAAAGACTGTCAGGAAATAGAAAGAACCCCAGAGAAGAATGGTGTCATGGAAATTGAATGAACAGTTTTTATGTAAAACAGTAGTAGCCATTGGTATAAAAGTGAAACAAGGATTTATATGTGATTATTAAATGTGTCTGTTAACTAACAGGCCATTACTTATCTTAGTACTGTATCATGAAGGTGATAAGAGTAAAATTCAGATTGCAGTGTGTTGAGGTGTGAATGGGAAATGAAACAATATAGGCATCTTAAGGGTAAGACAAGAAAGAGTTAAGTAGTTAAGGGAGCTTTTTTTGTTTTGTTTTACTTTTGTTTTTTTAAGGATAGAAGATACTGAACATTTTTGTGTTGGTGGGGAGAGAGCTCAGAGGGAGGAAGAAATAAAAGATGCAGAAGAACATGGACTAATTGACAGAGCAGAGTCTTCGAGGTTAAAAAAAAAAAGATCTTTGTATTCATTCTCAAATACAGGTTAGGGGAGTCAAGTTTTAGTAAGAAGGAAGGATGGAAAATAATTTTAGCCTCCCAAGAGCTCTCTCTTAGCCTCTGTTTATTCCCCATGTTTCCCACTCACTAAGTGGAGGAATCAATATTTGAGGGCCTACTGTGTACCAGGCACTTTCATGGGCTCTGGGAGTATGTAAGTAAACAAAGAAGTCCTTCCATTCATGGAACTTAGAGTCTCATGGAGAGGTAAGAAAATGGAAAGTAGATGAATAGAATATTAGATAATGAAGGGCATAGTGGAGAAAAATACACTCAGGAGGATGGTGAGCGAGGTATTGAGAAGGGCAGAATTTGCTGTTATTTACTGGTGGGTCATGGAAGGCCTGGTGAATAAGGTGACATTTGAACCGAGTGCTGAAGGAACCAAGAGAGCCATACAGATATGTGGGGAAAGAATGTTTCAAACAGAAATGTTAAGTTCAGAGGCCCTGAAGCTGGTGGTTTTTAGTATCACCCTTGGGAGAACCCAACTACCATGCCTCTTCCCTTAGAGACACAGCTGTGTATATATCAGTGTCTCAAAGAAGTGTTCCCTCTAAACACCCATCATAGTAATTCACCCAGTCTTGATTAATCTAAATCTCTTTTGAATTCATTCCTTCTTCTCTATCCCCATTCATTCTCTCAGTTCAGACCCTCTTTATTTCTTCTCTGGCCTTATCCCCTCACCTGTTGTCAGACAACACTTTAAAAATGTAAGCTGTCTGTTTCCTGCTGAAATTTCTCCAGTGGTTTCCCATCATTATTACCTACTGTCATAGAATCTAAATTTCTTAATTTGCTGATAAAGCCCTTTACCTGCTAGTTTAATTTCATTTCTTACCATTCTCCGTTGGTGAACCTCTGTACTTCCAGTCTTTGAATTGAGGGTATTCTCTCTTGATTTTCCATATTTACACATACTGTAACTTTAGCATAATTTTCCCCCACCCTTCCAGTGCTAACTCCTGTTTGTCCTTTAACAGCAAACTTGAGCATCACCTCTTCTAGAACTTTACCTGACCACAATTAGTTTAGCTCTATGCCTTTTCTGTTTATCAAGCATGCATTTCTTACGATACTTATAATTCTGTGTTATAATTGTTTCTATATATGTTTTCCACTAGACATTGCATTTCTTGAGGGCATAGACTATGTATTTTCATACCTGCTTTAACATATAGCCTAGTGTCTGACTTAAGTGTTCTGTCACTTGGAAGAATAAACTATTCTCTTCTGTAAATTATTTTTCAGATTCGATACATTTCTCAGACTCAAGGTTTACCAGGAGAACAGTTGTTAAATGTGGGCACGAAATCCACAAGATTTTTTTGCAAAGAAACAGATATGTCTCATTCTGGTTGGAGATTAAAGGTAATTTATGAAAAAATAGAATATTTAGAAGAATCATTTTCTAAGATGCCTCATGCATGCATAATACCTTCCATGTCTATTTATGTTTTATTACATTTCTTCCTTCTTTTGAATTTTCATTTTTGGCTCTTCTTGCTTTTTTTTTTTCCAGTTTTTTTTTTT